GTTGTTTCTTCCAGCAGTTTAACAGAAGTTCAGCTCATTTTGAAGTAAAACTGAAGCATTAAACTGATTCAGTGAAAATCTGCCTCAGAGCTTCACAACCTTCACTCATTCTTGTTATTCGACCAGTTGTTGTATCACAGAAACTGAAACTGAAACGATTCATAGATTAATTGTCACCAACTTTTTTGCAGATCAGTGAATCAGTTTGAGTAAATTCAGTCTAACTCTGTGGTTCCAGCTCCTCCAGGCTGAATGCTGTCTGGTCTCTTTCCTCTGTGACAGGAAACTGGAGACCTTTGCACTGAACCAGACATCTGAGGAAACAATGATCCACATTTTTATCACATTTTAAACCAACAGCTGATCGATTGATCCAGAAGAGGATCGAGGAGGAGGAGGAGCTCTACCAGACCTGAGTCCTCTATCAGAGAACTGATCAACGGATCAGGAAATAATCAGCACAGTTTAAAAACGGCTGAAGTTCATCCATCCTGAGGAGGATTCCCACACATGCCTTAACAGTTGGTGTGTTGAGTCAGCAGAGTTCACGGAGACCCTTTAACTCACTCACATTGCTCCTGAACATTATTTAATCGTGTCCACATTCCAAACATGAACTTACATTAAAGTCAGTGCAACAGGAGCCGGTCTGGCTCTGTGACAGCGGACACAGCCGTCTGCTGCAGCTCTGTTCAAATGCTCTGACACTAAAACAGTCTACAGATCTGCTCAAACTGGACTCACCTTCTTCCCATAAGCAGCTCCCATTGCTCCCGCTTTCTGCTCCGGCCGGGTTGGTCCCAGGCAGCAGCTTCCTGACAGTCTGGTCCCTGGGCTCCGTTAACCCACCACGCCGTGAGTCCGGCTGGTTGGCTTCATCCCAGCACAGTCCGAGTAGGGAGAAGGAGGAGAAGGAGGAAGAGGAGGAAGAGGAGGAGTCCTGCCACCTGTTGCTGCCTGACTCTCTGCTCTCTGCTGCCACCTGCTCAGGTGATCCACCAGATTAACCTAATTGGACCTGACAGGGAGAGAAACAAGTGAAGTCTGGATCTGGAGTCACTCAGTGTCCTGATTGCAGCATGTGGACCATCGAACCCGTAAAGCTGCAACAAGAACAAGGACACATGAAGGAGTTTTATGAATCTGGTTCCCTTAGAACCACAGAAACATGATCACAGGGAAGACTGATCCACTCAGGACCCGACTCAGCTGAAGGACCAGAGACTCTGAGGACAGGAAGTAAAAACATCTTTATTAAATGGATCTCTGATTACAGTCCTGACACGTCCCTCAGCAGCATGTTATCCACCATCATCTCCACTTCAGTCTTCATCCACCAGACCTCCAGTTTCACTCTGTGTTCTGACAGGTTGTACTGATGGCTTCGTTCATCATCAGCAGCCTGATTTATACACGTTATTCCTAAAAACATGGAATGAGTTTGTGTTTCCTGGATGCTGACAGTATTTACTGACTTCTGAAGCAACAACAGAAGAGAAATCCAAACCCGCCTCTGATGTCAGCGACATGAAACATGTTCACGTTTCTTTTCTGATAATTAATGCAAATTAGTGCACATTTTGCATCTTTAAACATTTAATTTCAGAAGAATCATTTGAATAATTGCCCTGAAGTCAGGCATCAGTGGGACGTTTCTTGATGTTCGTTTGAACATTTGAACCTTTTTATCTGATTTAATTCACATGAAACCTGTTGATGTTCAGCTGCTGCTGTTCATCACTCCGCCTGCAGGTGGCGACCTTCCACAAGCCGCTGCAGAAGCTGTGCTGTTGCGTAAATGTGCGACGGTATTTATAACCATGATCTCAGACCTGAACCTTGTGGACTGAGTGTTTGTGTGTGTGTTGGAGTTCTGCTGAATGAAAACACGTCTACAGACTGAAACGCTGTAAAACACACAATTTATTCATACACAGATAATAAAACTCATAGATTTATCTGAATCTGAATCTGATTTCTGTTTCTTTGAGCTTCTTTGGGTCATCATCAGTTTCAACAGTGAGGCTGAAACACACGTCAGAAGTTCAGAACCAGAACATTTTCTATATGAAGATGAATTTTAAAGCAAAAACAAACAACGAGAGCTGAAGGATGCTGAAGCAGTGACGAGGAATCCTGACGCTCAGCAGGTCGAACAGCTCACAGTAGTCAGATTACTCCTCAGTGGAACAGCATCTCCTCTCACACACATTAAAACTCATCCTTTATAAAGACTATAATTAAAACTGTGATCAGTCAAACTAAACTGAGTCCAGCTGTGGTTCTGAAATGAGCCCAGAACAGCAGAACTTTGTCGGTTTGGATAGATACTTTGGATCTCGCTGTGAAACAGGAACTCAGGCACCAAGTCAGCTTCCACTTGAGAAACGTTATTTTACCAGGTAGGGGATAGAACTGGTTCTGATGTCCAACAATGACCTGCTGCCTCCGGTTGTGTTTAACAGATGAAGAGGAACCAAAGAACCTGAACCCAGAAGCTGAACCCAGCCACAGATCAGATGTTCCAGGAGGATGGTTCTGGTTCTGGAGGTTTTCAGATTTGTACAAACATCTGTGAATGTGTTATTGATAAGGATTCAGGAATACCAGCACCAAGGTTCTGTCTCTGATTTACCTCCAGCAGCAGTTTGGATCCAAGTTGTGACTGAACCAGAACCAGAACCAGAGTTTCTGTGTCAGGTCGGTTTATGTTGAAGTCTCCAGTAAAACCTTCAACCCAACACCTCAAGATGATCACCCGCCACTCCAGAACACACCAGCTCTGTTCTGATTGGTCACTAGACGATCTGTGGCACCTTTAGAGGTCCAGTCACACAGAACCGTCGGTGTTCTACATCCTCCGCTTTAATCATCCTGCTTGTTGTTCAGACTGCAGTTTAGTGTAAATCTCAATCTGTGACCAGTCGTAGCTTCATAACCTCATTCTGACCAGTCGACCCAGTCGACCCAGTCACATGTCTGGGCTCCAGGTTCATCAGAATAACGGCTGCACACATCTCAAACCTCATTGGTCTGGGTTAGGGTCACTGCTCATGCAAGGCTTCTGATTGGCTGCTGGTCCAGCAGGGAACTTCCTCTGAACCCGCTCTATGCTCCAGAACCTGAGCTGTACACGACTCAATCAGGCATCAGCACAAAGAGCAGGCGTGGTATCTGTGAGGTTTATTACAGGGAGTCTGGTGGAGTTGTTTCACTCTGACTCTGTTTTACTTCACACACAATAAATAAAAGCCGCTAACATCTGGAGTCCGTCACCAAACAGGATGGATTCTACACAACAGAGTGATCACATGATGTAATGAGGCTTTAATGTGGCGTCGAGTCCCGCCGTCACTGTGGAGACCAGACAGTCCGGTCTCTACTGGTCGGAGGTGGGCGGGGCCTCTGTGTCGTCGTGGCTCGGCCCCGACATCTGCATGAAGAGCTCCCGGAGCTCTGTGATGTCATCATCAAGGGACGGCAGGGGCGGGACCGACCGCTGCTCGCGCTCCTCGATGAAGTCCCAGAGCCGGACGCTGTTCATGAACTGAACAAAGACACGGGTCAGAAACTACAAACCCAGCTGCTGGACTCCAACTCTGAACCAAAACACTGCCGCCGGCTTCTTACCCGGACGTTCCCCTCGGAGCTCAGCTGTTTCCGCGGCTTGTCGGGTTCTGCTCTGGTTCCGTCTGGGAAGGCGTGAAGGTACAAACACTTGGCTCCAAACGGACACGAGCCCCGGCCCTGGTCGAAGTACTTGCAGGCCTTTTTACTGCAGAGAGACGCAGAACGTCACGCTGTGGTTCAACCCAGTACCAGCAGAACGTTGCAGAACCAGTGTTGGTTCTGGCTACACCTGCACCAGGTGACCTGTTTGCTTCACAGAGCCTCTTCTTAAGGCCCATCTCCACTAATCCACGTTTCTTTACTCCTAAACTGCATCTCGTTATGTTTTAAGGAAAATTGGTTTTCTCTCAGATTACGTCTGTGACGTTCTACAAGCATCTCAAATCACTCAGCTGTTGATGTTATTGTTTTAGCACCAATCACGTTCTGAGCAGCTTGTCCACCTGGAAACCCAGAAAACAGAGAAGAAGCTAAAAGCTGTCGTCAAACAGGCGTATTCAACCCACAGTGAAGCAGCTCCTGCACAGAGAACACTCAGAGAACGTTACGGTGACCATTCAGGGCAGCCATGACGTAACGAGGGACAAAGAAGACCAAAGTGGACGGAGGACCTGTGGACTGTCTCCAACAGCCTCACCTGACTCCACACTTGAAGAGGTCGATCAGCTGGTCCTTCTCCTCCTGGTCCTCCACCCAGTACACCGACGGGATGACGAACTCGGAGACAACTCGACACTCTGGACACGACCTGAGACACAGAGACACCGTCAGACACACTGCCTCATCTGTCAGACTGTCCTCACCTGTCTTCACATCCCAGACTGTCTTCACATATCCTCACATCCCAGACTGTCCTCACCTGTCCTCACATCCCAGACTGTCCTCACCTGTCCTCACATCCCAGACTGTCTTCACATGTCCTCACATCCCAGACTGTTCTCACCTGTCCTCACCTGTCAGACTGTCCTCACCTGTCCTCACCTGTCAGACTGTCCCCACCTGTCAGACTGTCCCCACCTGTCCTGGACTTACTTGATGATCTTGTTGCAGAAGTTTCTGGTGCAGCGCCACTGTCGGATGCAGGCCAGACAGAAGGTGTGACAGCAGGAGGACAGGATACCGAACCTGCGGTCGGACAGGTTTGCCTTCTGCACCACCACCTCCATACAGATGGAACACACCTGAACAAGAACAACAGTTAATGTCACCGTCACCGTCACCACGGCAACCACATAGATAAGTGAAGGAACCCACCTTGTCCTGGCTGAGCTGAGCTGCAAACGCCTTCTCCATGTCGGCCTCGAAGGCCAGCAGACAGATCTGCAGACAGACAGACAGACAGACAGAGTGTTGGTCACACCTTTGGACATGTTCCAGGTTGCTGACATGTTCTTCTCTCTGGTCTCCATGGTTCTGACTGAGTCCTGCTGACAGAAGACGTCTCTGAACCCCAGTGAGGTGCACCTCGAGGGTTAAATTATGCTGCAGAACGTGCACACCTTCTCGTGCATCCTCCTCTGCTCAGGGTCGTGGGGGTGGAGCACCTGCAGTCCGCACACCTCACACAGGTCGCCATGGAGATATGGACAGCTGTCGTCATAGTAACAGTGTCCAGCAGCTGCATATGGACACAGCTGGGGGAGGTCCTGATAAGCCCCACCTGTTGGGGGAGGAGCTACTGGAAGCACAGGTAAACAGAATGAGACAGGTGAACGTGAAAGGCGGCGGTTACTAAACACCCATTCACATGCAGCAGAGTTAATGTTTGCTGTGCCGACCTGGTTCTGGTGCTGCAGCGTCCAGTCCTGTCCGGATGGCGTCCACATACGACTGAGGAGCTGCTGCGGCCGCTGTGACCTCCGACCCCACAGCGTCGGCCGGACCTCCGAACACACTGTCAGAACCCAGAACTACAAGACAGACGGACAGAGGTTGCGGATTGGACCGGGTCAACCTTTCAGGTGCTGTTGTAACATCCTGACTACAGACCACAGACGGACAGAGGCTGTGGTTCTTACTGGGTCATGGTTCTGCTGTGTGGTGTGTCCATGCCGTGACTGATCACCGTCAGCTCTTGCACCTCTCTGAGTTCAGAAACCCGTCAGAGGAAACTCATTTCAGCTGCATGTGTCTCAGAGTTCACAACCACAGGTGAGGGTTGGAACGAAGACCGACTGGTAGGATGAGGGTTTTCCCACCGGTCCGGTACAACACCTGCACTACTGCACCCGTCCATCTGACCGTCCCACCACATGTACCAACGCTGTGAACAAGATCCTGAGATACTGAAACTCCTTCACTTCAGGCAGCAACTCCCCCAAACCCAGAGGGACAAATCCACTGGTTTCCATTGAAGAACCTCAGACTGGAGGGTGCTGACCTTCATGAAACCATCTCAGTGCTGCTGAAGGTCTGATGAAACCAACAGAACCACATCATATGCAGAAAGCAGAGACTCTGAGGTTCCCCACAAACCACCACTCTGTATTTAATAAGCATTATCAATGGGGAATTGATCCTAAGAGCAGAGTCAGCCTGCGCCTTTGGTCACCAGATCATGTCTGGAGACTCCTGGTGTCACTCCAGTGATCTCATCACTTCACCTTCATGCAAACCTGTGTCCCACCTTTTGATCACTAATGTGTTTACATACGGTCCTCTCCTCACTTTGGGCCCTTCGTATAAAGTCTTGAGTTCTTCCAGGGTTCTGGTCGGGTTTACCTTCACAGAACTCTCAGTTCTTCTCTCTGAGTGTCTGGAATACCAATAAAACAGCCAACTACTGATTTGGATCAGGACCTGAGTTTTTACTACCGCAGTGACCTCAGTCAGGGATTTGGGCAAAGCTTCTGCCCGATCTTCAGACTCGGACTCCTCCACAGAGGAGATGTTAGTCAGCTTTAGAAGCTCTTCAAAGTTCTCGTCACTCTGTCTGACAGTACCACCAGTTTGGACCAGCAGTTCTGCCCAGCTGAACACAACCTGGACCAAACCCTGCCTTACTTTCCTGAGGCATCGAACGAACGGTTCAACCAGTGGTGTCGTTTAGCCCTTCAGGTATCTGTATCCGTGTTTTCAGAACTAATGTCGCGACGGGAAACAACAACCACCTCTAACTAGTAACCCGCAGCTGAAAACATAAAGTTCTGATGAGGAGTCCGATCACGAATTAAAATAACGTCTCCCTACAGCAGCTCTCAAAGGAGGTACCTGGTGTCCTGGAACCTTACAGGTGATGTAGCTCAGTGCTACAACTCAGCAGGTCTGCAGCGCAAGATCTGCTGGATGTTTGACATTCGCTAAATGTTAGTTAGCAGTTTGCTGAATGTTTGTTGGCAGTTTGCTGAATGTTTGTTGGTAGTTTGCTGAATGTTTGTTGGCAGTTTGCTGAATGTTTGTTGGTAGTTTGCTGAATGTTTGTTGGCAGTTTGCTGAATGTTTGTTGGTAGTTTGCTGAATGTTTGTTGGCAGTTTGATGAATGTTTGTTGGCAGTTTGGAGGACACAGCTGAGTGTTCTCACCTCTGTCTCTCAGGACCAGAGTCTTCCTGGGCCCACCCCTTCCCGCTCGGCCTCCAGCTCCGCCTCCACCTGCTGCATCCTCTGAAGCTCCTCCCCCTCCTGCTCTGAACGAAGGTCTGATGTGATCGTACCTGCACACAGATCACACTCACCTGAGGAGACACAACAAGCTATGCAGCCGCTAACTCGCAGTGATACAAAGGTTTTACTGGTGAACGTCGGCTACATGCAGCAGAAACCAGAAGTTCACAGACACGTACAAAAACACACAGAAGCTTTCAGTCTCACTGTCTGACATTAAATCAGACTGAACTCTTCCTGTTTCAGCTCAGTCAGGATCGCCAACATTACTTCTATTTGCTCAATACCAGAATCATGAGAGAGAGAATGTTGTACCACTTTCTTCTAAGTCAGAAGTTTACATCCACTAAGATGCCTTCAGACTGTTTGGGAAAGCCCAGATGATGACGTCATGGCTTTGGATGTAAACTTCTGGTTTCAGCTGTATGCAGGCGTTACCGCCCCACCTGTTGGACTCAGCGTCACCTCTCCAATAGGTGTCACCTGTCGGGTGCGGTTACCTGCAGCGCTCTCCATAGGCGCAGACTCCTCTCTGGTAGAACTTGCAGATGGTGGAGGGTTTGCTGCTGCTCGGGTCGTGAGAGAACAGACAGCGGCTGCCCTCCCTGCAGACGCCATGGAGGAAATACCTGGAACACAGGACGGGACGTCAGCACCTTCAAACCATCACTGTGGCAACAGAGGAACTGCTCTGTGATTGACTGGCAGTTCAGGTGCTTCATTTTTGCCTTGAATCACCTCAAGAACACAAAGAACCAGTTGAAGATCCTCTAAAAACTCTTTACCCTGTCCTTTATCTTCAGGTACCCCTGAGACATCGGGCCAAGTCACAGCTTAACCTTTATAAGGACAACTTTTTCAAAGACTATTTAACCTCCTGAAGAACATACTGAAGCTCTGTGTTGCTTCTGTTCCCATCAGATGAAGAAAGTCTCCTTCGTTCCTCCACGACTCTATCATCCTGGTTTTAAAGTGTCTGTAGCTTTAGATGAGCTGATGCTGGCCTCGCCCCCTTCAAAAGAACCCTCTGTGTGATGGACAGATGATTGAGTGACAGCAGGTCTTTGTATCCTCTGACTTCCTCTCTGAGGATCATCTTACAGTAAATCTGAGTGAACTCTCAGCTCATGGTGGTTCTGAACTCCTGCGTTTGGAGTTTGTCAGACGACGTCATAAAATCAGGTTTAAATGAAGCGATGCTGCTCAACGTGTCGCCTGGAGGAGGTCCACTGTTTCCTCCTGGTTCTGCTGCCTGACACCAGAACCATCTGGAGATGAGAGCAGCTTCACTGGGTCACTGGGTCGAGTTAAAGCTAACGTTAGCCACATTAGCTCTGGGGATCCTCATGTCACTGTGGGTCCACCAGTAACCCCAGTAACCCACTGGGTGTTGGTGAGTTCTGTTCATGGTTCAGACGTGTCAGAGTTTATCAGATCAGCTGTAGACAGTAAATAAACCTGGAGGACTGAGAGGAAACATTCTGATTGGTTCACCTGGAGCCACTGAGGGGGCGGAGCTATACAGAGCTAAGCCACTATTGGTTAGTTAGCTGAGAGGTAACACCTGTTCACGTCCTACTGGTTTGGGTAACTGGGAGGCTAACTAGCTGTGGGGCTTTAAGGAGCAGTGGGATGAAGGTCTTCACAAACAAACAGCTTCTCCAAGTTCGTAGCGACCACAAGATAAACTGATGTCCACCGTTTGACCCAAACAGAACTCTGTCAGAGGAAACCGGTCACTTGGACCTTCTCACAGCCGAACTTCTTGCTGAGGACAGTTCGAGCCTCATCCGGTCCGTCTGCAGCTCCAGCCTCAACAGAACCGACAGGAAACACCGACGGACCTCCTGGACGTTCAGCCGCCGTCCCGGTCCCACTGACTGATCCGTTACCCGGTGCCGGTTCAGCAGGTCGGTCACGGGGCTTCTACGGTTAATCCGGGCAGCTGCTAGCTGAACCAGGTGAACCAGGTGAACCAGGTGAATGTGACGGAGCTGAACAGCGGAGCTAATGGCTAACGGCTAAAAACATTAGCTCGAAGCTAACGCGTCCGCGGCGACCACAGACGGTGAGAAAAGACTGACGGACAGGGTGCCGACAGACGGACTCACCTGCAAGTCACCTGTTTGGTGCTCATCTTCCTCACGGGTTCAGCTTCAACGGCTGCTTCGAAGTTGACCCCCGTTGTCCCGATGAAAGCGTTCCGACGGAGAGCCGCAGACACAGCAGGAAGGTTCCGACAGGCTTCTTCTTCTGGTGACGTTGTGAGCGGGTCAGACAGGTGCTGCTGCCCCCGCAGGTCACCTGGGGCAACTGCACGGACTCGTTCAATCTGATGTTTTTTTCTGCTGCAGCTTTTTATCGACCTGCTGTCGTTATTTACAGCCTGGTCCTTCAGATGGACCTCCTCAGAAGCATCAGTGGACAAAAACGGAACATTTGTATTCAAACATCTGAGCTCAGAACAGTTTGTCTCCTGGTCCTTCACTGAGGTTCATGTTTCAACATAAAGTCCTGCAGCTCTGTGGAACCAGAACCACTTAAAGGAAGAGAGAGACCTGACACGTGATGTTTGTCTTCAGGTGAGTGCTTTGTTCCTGGAATCAGACACACCTGAGCTGACGGATCAGATCACTCTGACAGGTGAGATGGAAAAAGTGCTGACCTACATTCTGTCTGTCCGTCTGCAGGAGTTTGACCTTTAATCTAGTTTTAGTTCTGTTTCTCTGTTGCTCAGATTAAAGGAGCCTAGTGACTAAAGTCTCAGTAAACTCCCAGAATGCACTGCAGCATCAAAAGAACGGGACACTACTTTGCAGGTCTGTTTCCACGACAACAACAGGCTCGCAGTCCGAAGGTCACCTGTTCAGTCCAAAGCAGCAACAGGTGAGCGGGGTCACGTGACGGTCTGTCTTACAGCACTTGAAACCTGATAGGCTGTAACCAGGCAACCAGGGTGACAAGGAGAAGGAGAGAAGAAGAAACAACAAGTCAGAAAGGAGGAGGAGAAACTGACAACAGACACAAGAGGAAGAGCAGAGGACCAGGGGAAGGCTGGGACTCGGAGGGGGACTGGGAAGCAACTCGGCGATGGAGCGCAGCGTCATACGGCTGAGTCACTGTCAGAAGGAGATCTTCTGCTTCTCGCTGCCCGACGAGTGTCCGAGCTGTGGGGAGGAGCTGAGGGGCAGCAGGCTGCAGGAGGCGCCGGTCAGTCTGCCGTCCCCCTTCACCGACGGACACAAGAGCTCCTGCTGCCTGTTGGTCGCACCTGCACACGACAATCTCCACAGGTAAACAGGAAACGCAGGTAGACAACTACACAGGTAAACAGCCTCCACAGATAAATACATACAGGTCAATAAACTAATCTGAACCAGTCCACTGTAACCAGTCACACCAATCTGACCAGCACAGTATAACCAATATAACCAGTATAACCATTGTGTCCTACTGCTGGTTCCTCAGAGACTTTGATGGGACATCTGATCTGCACACCGGGATCTCCAACACTAAAGGTACGACTCACCTGGTGTTTTGGTGCTCAAGTGGACAGAGACAAGCAAAACAGACAGGAACAGACAGGTAGAC